GTAGATAATGGAGGAAAGGTCGAGCAAATGTTAGGAGGAGGCCAGCAACTGATGAAGCGGCGGCATAGATCCTCCTCAAATCTCTCTGCCATTACTACTTATGTTTAACAAACCTGTATTTTTATGTAACATCGGCATGAAATGGAGTATAGCGGGGTTTCACTCTTAGTTAATTAGGTCATGTTAGCGCTTTCCATACTTGTCTGTCTAACTAATATCACAGTTTTTTATACTTGTATCCCCATTCCAACCCCGATCTTCTTCTCACCAGTCACTTGTGATACATGCCAAGCTGTTATATATTGCCGGGCCCATGGATGATCTGGGCATTTTACTACCAAGTGTGTTGATAACTTTTATGATGCGGACAATCGGTCTCCATCCTGTATTTACAAGACCCCCTGGTGCCATAACTACCATCAAGGGAAGATGTTCCCCCCCAGAACCTTACTGAAGGGGACTCCCATGAAACCATAGCTGCAATACCAGTCTACCTCCCCTCCCCTCCGATCTTCTCTAACCCGGTAACTTCAATCGTCCTCCCGTTGGCACATCTGCCATTCCCTCCAATTAGCATACGCCCCCCCCCCCTCCTCAGCTTAAGCAGGAGATGGAGCCCATACCTTCGGAACAACCTCTCCACCGCAAAGCACCTAATCTCCTCCCCGACAACCCTACAGTCCCACTGAATCATCTCCTTCAACACGCACCCCTTCAAGTCAATCCCTTCCTCCTTGCGAACTTTCTCTCCCAACTCCTCCGGCCGGATCTTCTCCAGATGCAACATGTCCCACGGTGGTAGTAGTAGGATACTGGAAGAGATTGTCTGGACTGACCTTAACACTGCACGTCCTTCCTTTTGATTTTCAACACCAGCACTACCACAGTTCACTTAGCGCTAACCTTTAATTCAGCTGCTATCGACAACAACACAGCAGGAATTCACCCTCAACCTCCCAGAGATAGATGCCCTTCTTGCGGCAGCCTACAAAGTCCGCACCCGGCGGCGCGTACTCGAACTCCTCGGGCTGGGTCCCTGCACCGGTAAAACTACCCTCCTGTACCTCCTCGTCGGTCTAGCAACCCTCCCTGTTTCCCTCGGCGGAAAGGGGGCCTGTGCAGTGCTCCTCGACTGTTCCGGACGCTTTGACGTCGTCCGGCTTCGCAATGTAGTTTCCGAATTCGCCAAGCTTGGTGACACCGGCGATGTGGAAGTGGGGCAGGTGGTGGGGGAGGCTCTAGAGCACGTACACGTTTTCCGCCCCGACACTGTTGGGGAGTTTATTGCTACTGTTGGGGGGTTGGAGGAGTATTTGTTGGATCGGAAAGGGAATGGGAGCAGTGGGAGGGAGTTGGCAGGAGTTTTTGTGGATGGGGTTGAAGGTTTCGTTTGGGAGGGGTTGCGGGAGGGGCCCACAGATGGTAATACGGAGGCATACACTACTATAATTCAATCACTACAATCTTTGCAAAAAACGTTCTTGCAGGTTCCTATTATTGCAACGAATAACGGTACAATAAGATCTTCTCCGGATGGAGAAGTACCGATATACAAAACCTACCTCCCACAGGTTTGGACTGCATTTGTCGGCGTTAGGATCATCCTTGCGAGAGCTCCTGTGAAGCCGTTCCCGGTGGAAATGAGTCTGCAGAAGGCATGGATGGAGCAGCAGGAGAGAAGATTAGAGGTTGTGAGGAGGAATAGGATTGAAGGGTGGGTGGATGTTGGCGGGCTTGGGGGTGGTGTTGAGAATGAGATTGGGAGGTTGAAAGGCGAGGGACGGTTTTCTTTTTCCTTGGGCGCAGGAGGAGGGGTGACATTTGAGCAGTGATGGGTTGGTGGTGAGACAGTTGTAGATCTAGATCTACGGTGCGGCAGCGAGGACGTGAGATGAGATGAATGGATGGCACCTACCTTTCCACTGTTGCCGGAGACAGGAGAGGGTCTACCTGTCTTGTGATACGGTAGTAAGCTTCTCGGTACTGTAGGTACTGTATATACAGCAATACTAGTATTCCTGATCTACAGTACAGTGCATCTTCGAGCTCTCAGGCTCGGTTGACATCTCGAATAGAGTGCCCTACACTACCGGAGCGGGGATATTACAATACTCGTACATCAATCACTACTCGTAATTTTCTGACGTTTGTGAACACGACTGCTATTGCATACCACCAAAATCTTGGGGCTCCGGCCGATTTTTTGCCCATATGCAATAGCAGTTGTGTTCACAAACGTCAGAAAATTGCGAGTAGACACCTCCCGCGACCCCTTGGTCCCTGCCCGCTATTATACAGCATTTATACCCGCAGTTCCTTCCCTTGCTTCCCATTTTTACACTTTTTATCCTTTTCAAAATGGCAGAATGATCAAAAAGTTCACGTGTGGGAATTTGTGCATCTGTGCTACTATTGGGCGATGCCCGATGGGAAAATGCGGGGAGGAGGCTTGCAATTGCTTGGCTAAATTGTACGTACGTCGGATACGCGATAACAGCTTGGTAGCAGGAGCACAGTAGGAATGGGTTGAGGGAGCCTTGTAGGAGGAGGAGGAAGATGAGGGGGATGGGTAATAAATAGGAATGAGGAAAAATGGGTCTTTTTTTGGAGCCGAGGTGGTATCGATAGAGTGGGGGGGTAGTGTCGTGTGGGGGCAGTCGTTTCCGGTGGATGGTGGTGTGTGAGGAGGGTTGGACTGGAGAGTTGGGAGCGGAGGAAGATGAAAGGAATGAAGGGGGAAGGGAGGGAGGGAAGAAGTATGATTGGGTGCGATGGGGGAAGGAAGGGGTAGGCTTGAAGGGAGGAGAGAGGGAAGTGTGTTGAGTTGGAGTTGGAGGAAATTTACTCCACCGAAGGTTCAATCCAGTACTCTTACCCGCGCTCTCGTTACGGCACTGTACTTGAGTCCCGGTATCGGTACATCCTGAAAGGTGATGGGGAGGCTACAAGGAAAAGATAAGCAAGATTGGAGGATCAAGAGGGAAAAAGTAAAGGTGAAAACAAAAATAAAAGTGAACGCATCATAGGGGAATATCATATCATATCATATCGTGTCACGGATCTTTACTTACACTCTGCTTGAGTACGGTATCTTAAGAAAGGCCTTCCCCTTCTCTCACTCTTCCTGCTACTCCGTGAATGCACGTTCTCTCAAACTTTTCGCTTTCTCTTTCCCGCACACATGCACGCACGCCTTTAATATTTCCTGGACGACATTTTCTTCAAACCAATTTCTCCTCCCGCAGTAAACAAACAAAACGGGAAGACTTCTCATCCAAAGACCTCTACCCTTCCATCCGTCCATTTCCTTTAAGGCCGCCATCTCGTCGGTTGTCCATACGAGTACACGGTAGAAATCCCCCTTCTTCGAACCTCGCTCCAGCGTTCGAACCCCACTGGACCTTCAACCCTAGAGTACACCATACCCGCACCACCACTACTATCATACCTATCTCCCCTCTTCTCCTCCGCCACTGCAACCACATTCATCATCCATTAACCTACTGCCAGCAAACCACGACTGTCACCGAACGCCCATACGCACACGCACGCCCACCCACCTTCCCACTTTCCCACCTTAAAACGCACCCCACTTCCCACCCCGCTGCAACTGAGCCCATTGGTTTCAACAGTCCCATCACAATTGTTTCTTATTGATTCACAACTACAACATTGCCTAAGCCATGACTTCGGAACCGATTCCGCCTCTCCCATCATCCCACGCTGTCGGCTTCCACTCGCCGGAGTCGGCATCCCTGTGGTCTCGTCTGTCTGCATATGTTTCTGAGAATAAGGCTGTGGTGTACACCATCGGTGCTGTGGTGATAGTTGTGGGCGCTGGAGGAATATACTACGTCACTCAATCAAACCGGTCTGGGGGCAAGGGGAAAAGGAAGGAGCGGCGGACAGAGAAAGAGAAGGATAAGGGTAAGAAGGTAGCTGAAGGCGAAGGTATGTATAAGAATTCTTTCATAGTTTATCGGGGCCCGTTTCTTCTTTTTTTTTTTTTAAGTCACCGCCATAAGTTTTTTTTCTTTCTTTCTTTTTCTAAAAAAAGGGGGGTCACTAGAACTTGAGTTCTTGTGCTTTTCTTATTTGGACATTCGGGAATAGTTGATTATGACGTAAGTGGTGCTAATGAATTTTTTGTGTGCGGTTTTAGATGTCAAGTCGCAGAAGCCGGAGGAACCTCTCCCCGAAGTTAATGAGGAAATTGTGGAGCAATTAACTCCAGAGGTATTTACTACATTCTTTTGTTTCTCGGTTGCTTTACTTAGGAACTAATGATATTTATTTCGTAGCAACGGAAGGACTATGCTGGAAAACTCAAGGCTGCCGGGAATAGGGCGTATGGTAGCAAGGATTTCCCACTGGCTATTGACTTGTATACCAAGGCGATTCTCTGCAGGCCAGATCCAATATTCTACTCGAACCGCTCTGCTTGTTTCAATGCCCTTTCGGAGTGGGAGAAGGTTGTTGAAGACACCACTGCTGCTATTGCTTTGGACCCTGAATATGTTAAGGCTTTGAATCGTCGGGCCCATGCTTACGAGCAATTGGGGAAGAACAGTGAGGCTTTATTGGACTTTACCGCGAGCTGTATTATTGATGGATTCAGGAATGAAGGTGCCGCTCAGAGTGTGGAAAGGTTGTTGAAGAAGGTTGCAGAGGAGAAAGGAAAGAGGATGCTCGCAGAGAGGCCAAAGAAATTGCCTTCCTCTACGTTTGTGTCCAATTACCTGCAGAGCTTCAGAAGCAGGCCCCCACCACCGGGCCTTGAGGAGGATGCTAATATTCCGGAGGGCACTGGTGACTATCATCTTAGACTTGGATTGGAGGCTGTTGAAAGAAAAACGGTCGAGGGATACGAGGAGGCGGGGCGGGAGTTTGAACTCGCTGTGGAGTTGGAAACAAACCATGAAGCGTATGCGTTGAACTGGCGAGGAACTTTCAAGTACTTGCGGGGTGATGCTGCGGAAGCTTTGAAAGATTTGAACGGGAGTATTGAGCTGGACCCTACCATGACACAAAGCTACATCAAGCGCGCCAGCATGCTATTAGAGATTGGTATTACTTCCCCACTTACCGCGTGACTTGTTTGCATTCTACTAACGAAATGCTCTTTAGGAAATCGTGAGGGGGCAGCGGCAGATTTCGCAACAGCTCTTGAACACAATGCTGACGATCCGGACATATATTATCATCGTGCTCAACTTCACTTTATCCTGTCCGAGTTCGCCGAGGCTGCGAAGGACTATCAAAAGTCCATTGATCTCGACCACTCCTTTATCTTCTCGCATATCCAGCTCGGCGTCACCCAGTACAAGATGGGCTCCGTTGCTTCGTCAATGGCCACCTTCCGAAAGTGTATTAAGAATTTCGAGACTACTCCTGATGTCTACAACTACTATGGCGAACTACTGCTTGACCAGCAAAAGTATCTAGAAGCCATTGAAAAGTTTGATACTGCTGTGGAGATGGAAAGGACCGCCAAACCCATGGCTATGAATGTGTTGCCGTTGATAAACAAGGCTCTAGCTCTCTTCCAATGGAAGCAAGACTTTACCGAGGCAGAGAAGCTGTGCGAGAGGGCTTTGATCAGTATGTCTATCTTCTAGTCATTCTGGTATTATAACTGACAAGGGGGGTAGTTGATCCCGACTGTGATATCGCCGTTGCTACAATGGCGCAATTGTTGTTGCAGCAAGGAAAGGTGACTGATGCACTCAAGTACTTTGAGAAAGCCGCCACACTCTCCCGTACCGAAGGAGAGATTATCAACGCTCTTTCCTATGCCGAGGCTACAAGAACACAACTAGAGGTAACAGACATCCCCGCATCTCTTCCCCTTCATAGAGCTTTCTATATTAACACCCAAATAGGTGCAGGAGAAATACCCTCAATTGGCAAACCGGCTCCAGGGAATGACAAGTCTGGGAAGGTGATATGTTGATAAGAAATGAAAAAAGAAACAAAAACAAAAGACAAAAGCCACAATCAGTTAAAAATATAAGAAAACTTTCGTGGTCAAATAGAACTTTCCGGCTTGCTTGGTATTGGCATGTGCATGTGCGTGTATGTGTGCATGTGCGTCGCGTGTGTGAAGCTTGCTCAAATAAAGTGGCTTTTTTAATCCATAGGGGGAGGGAAAGGCATGCAGTTTCTTTTTTTCCTCCCTTTTCACCTTTTTTCATTCCTCTGGTATTCATTTTACATCACACGTTTTTATTGCTTGAAGTTCATGCTCTGTAAGCTGGGAGAGAGGAGCGGTAAAGAAGCTACCGCATCGTGGCTGGGTGAATCTCTTCCATTTCTGGTGCATATATCTTCTTATCCCTTCATTCTTGTCCATGTATGCCACCCGCCACAGGCGCTAATCGGCGACGTTTCCCGTTACTTTCTAGCTTTCACGTTTCTTCTCTCTTCTCATTTCATTTATTATGTAAAATGTTGCTCTACATATTGTGCTTGCTTGTTTGGTTGGTTGGGCTGGCTGGTAAGTGTGGGTGGGTGGGTGTTTTAATGAGGCTGATTGATTTCCTTGGTTCTTTGGTGTATAGTACTCCACTCTTAGTTTCTTCATGCTCGCTTGTTTGCTTCGGTGTATCATTGGACGGGGGAATTAGTCGAGACCTTCATTTATGGCTTATCATAGAGTACAGTGCAGTCAACTTTTCAAAGAAACACCCTCCTCTCCCCTTCCCTCCTCCCATCCATCCATCCATCCAACTACTTCGCTCCAGGTGGCCCATACCCCGGCGGTGCACCCGGCAGCGGTGCCCCAGCCGGAAAACCCCCTAGTGGTGGGGGCATAGTAAACCCAGCACCTGGTGGCGGAACCATCATTCCACCCGGGGGCGGCACAAAACCCGGCGGGACCACCATCCCAGGCAACAACTGCGGCTGAACCCCCCCTCCCGCCCCTCCACCCGCAGCATCCATCCCCGGAAACCCCGAAAACCCAGCGGCAGCACCCCCCCTCCCCAATGGCGGCGGCGGGAACCCAAACGGCGGTGGCGGCGGTGGAACCATCATACCGGGCCTAGCCGGGAACCCGAACGGTGGAGGCGGCAGTGACAACGGCATTTGCAAACCTGCCGCTGCCGCCGCTGCCGCTGCCGAAGGTGGCAACAGTGGGAACCCACCGGCGCCAACGCTCCCGGCGCCCCCGGCTCCGGGGGTGGTCGAGTGCACTGATGGCATGGGCTGCCCTTCCGCCGCGTAGCTGGAGGTTATGCTGTCGATCACAGATTGCGCCTTTTCGTGCCCGATCTGCTGGTAGTAGTCCACGACATTGCGTAGATGGTTGCGACCGCTGTTGTGCGCTTTCCGGACGGAGATAGAGTCGTGGGTTAGGTAGACATCGCAGTAATCGCAGAAGACTGGCTGGTGGGAGGGGTTGTTAGAGACA